GTACCATCTGCATTGGTACCTCTCAGATTGCTCCCTTCATCTCATCAGCACCCATTTGCAGACTTACATACGAGCAGAGAGGTGTTTTAATAATTGGGAATTCACCTAGAGTGAATCTCAGAAAGACCGCAATTTCTTTTTTGGACCACGCGCTCAGGAAATTGGGGAAAGATACGGCTTTAAACCAAGGAAACTGTGGAAGAAGAAATGCATAACACGCATCTCTGTGTGTTTGTTTGTATGAGGTCAGAAGTCACCAGCTTATAGTCCAACAGGTTTATTTGAAATTACAAGCTTTTGGAGCGCTGCCCCTTTGTTAGTGAAGTCTGTGATTTCAAATAAACCTGTTGGACTATAACCTGGTGTCGTGTGATTTCTGATCTTGACCACCCCAGTCCAACACTGGCACTTCCCCATCTTTGTTTGTACGCGTAAGGGAATTTTAAAAAGCGGGTGAGCTTATGTTATAAGCTAGCCACCCACTTTATTTGCTTGCCATTGAATCATAGGATCCCTACAGTGTGGAAACAGGCCATTCAACCCATCGAGTCTGCACTGCCCCTTTGATAAGCATCCCATCCAGGCCCTGACAAGTGGCAAGTGGCATCTGCGCTACAATAATGCCAGGCTGTGACCCTCGCCACTAAGAGACAATTTAACTACCGCCCTTGACATTCAATGGTGTTACCATCACTGAATCCCCACTATCAACATCCTGGGCATTATCATTGACCAGAAACTCAACTGGACTCACCATACTAACACAGGGGCTACAAGAGCAGGCCAGAAGCTAGGAATACTGTGGTGAGTAACTTACCTCCTGACTCTTCAAAGCCTGTCCACCATCGACAAGGCACAAGTCAGGAGTGTGATGGAATACTCCCCACCTTCCCCTGGATGGGGGCAGCTCTAACAACACTCAAGAAGCTCGATGCCATCCAAGACAAAACAGCCCCTGCTTGATTGGCACCACATCCACAAACATCCCACTCCTTCTACCACCCACGCTCAGTAACAGCAGTGTGTACCATCTACAAGACACACTGCAGAAACTCACCAAAGATCCTCAGACAGCACCTTCCAAACCCACGACCACTTCCATCTGGAAGGACAAGGGCATCAGGCATATGGGAACACTACCCCCTGCAAGTTCCCCTCCAAGTCACTCACCATCCTGACTTGGAAATATATCGCTGTTCCTTCACTGTCACTGGGTCAAAATCCTGGAATTCCCTCCCTAATAGCATCATGGGTCAACCCACAGCAGGAAGGCATCTCACTATCACCTTCTCAGGGGGCAGCTAGGGAGGGGCAATAAATGCTGGCCAGCCAGCGACACCTACATTCCACAAATGAACAGAAAAAAAACTCCCCAGAACTTATCCCTGTAACCCGAGATTCCCCATGGCTAACCAACCTAGCCCGCACATCCCTGGACACTGACGACAATTTAGCACGGCCAATCCACCCTAACCTGCACATCCCTGGACACTATGACGACAATTTAGCACGGCCAATCCACCCTAACCTGCACATCCCTGGGCACTATGGGGCAACTTAGCACGGCCAATCCACCCTAACCTGCACATCTTTGGACTGTGGAAAGAAACTGCAGCACAGATCGCGATTTACCCAAGCCCTGAAGCTCCTGCCCTCTCCCACCTGGGATGGCCATGACAATCATTCGCAGGTTAGCGCTTCCGGGACACACAGCTGAACTCTTTCAAGCATTCTCGTCATTCGACATGGCTTGACTCCACGAACTGGAGTGAGTGACTCGAGAGGTAGGAACAGCACCTACCAGCTTCATCGTAGAAGTAGTGAACTGCTCCGTCCGAGGTGTCATCAAAGTTGGAAGCCTCGTGCACAGGGCCCCGAGAGAGCAGCAGCGAGCTGGCAAAGTGCAGAGCTGCAGGGAGCGCGTGGGTTCGTGACTGGGACGCCGTCCGGTTCCTCTGGATGTCCTGCAGGCTGCGTGGAGAATTTGACACTACATTAAACCGAGAAGCTTCACAGTGAATGGGTGAACACAGCATCTCCCAACAACACAGTGCAGCCAGAGGCATTTTCCAGCCATTTTACCCATACAGTCATACAGCATGGAAACAGGCCTTTCGGTCCAACTCATCCATGCTGACCATATATCCCAAATTAATCTAGTCCCGTTTACCAGCATTTGGTCCATATCCCTCTAAACCCTTCCTATTCATATACCCACCCAGATGCCTTTTAAATGTTGTAATTGTACCAGCCTCCACCACTTCCTCTGGCAGCTCGTTCCATACACGCACCACCCTCTGCGTGAAAAAGTTGCCCCTTAGGTCCCTTTTAAAGCTTTCTCCTCTCGCCTTAAACCTATGCCCTCTAGTTTTAGACTCTTCTACCCTGGGGGGAAAAGCGTGGACTATTCACCCTATCCATGCCCCTCCTGATCTTATACATTTCTATAAAGGTCATCGCTCAGCCTCCGATGCTCCAGGGAAAAGCTTCCAGCCTCTTCTCATAACTTTAACCCTCCAGACCTGGCAACATCCTTGTTAATTTATGTAGCATAGAATTTTAGAATCCCTACAGTGTGGGAGCAGGCCAATCAGCCCATCTCAACCCTCCAAAGAGCATCCCAAACAGACTCAACCCTCTACCTTATCCTTGTAATCCTGCATTTCCCACGGCTAACCCACCTAGCCTGCGCGTCCCTGGACACTATGGGGCAATTTAGCATGGCCAATCCACCCTAACCTGCACATCTTTGGACTGTGGGAGGAGCCCACAGAATGTGCAAATTCCACACAAGCTTTTTTTTTTATTACACAATGCACTGCCAGCAGTAGTAGTGGATTCAGATACATTAGCGACATTTCAGCGACTCTTGGATAGGCACATGGATGATGGTAAAATGAAGTGTATGCAGGGTAGTTTGATCTTAGAGTAGGATAATAGGTCAGCACGGCATCGTGGGCCGAAGGGCCTGTACTGTTCTATGTTCTAAACAGTCGCCCCTGCAATTGAACCCAGGTCCATGACACTGTGAGGCAGCAGTACTAACCACTGAGCCACCATGCCTCCCCCTTTCTAGTTTAACAACATCCTTCCTATAGCAGAGCGACCAGAATTATACCAAGCATTCTAAAACCTTTCACACCGAGTTACTGAAATATCAAGTCAAGTGATTAGAAGCTAGGCTGAAAGGGATTGGTTGGAAGGGGTGTCTCAAAGATCAGCAGGGGGTTTTGGAAGGGAAATTAAAGCCCAGGAAGTTGAAAGCTTGGTGCAGAAAATCAGTGATTTGCAATTTGCCAGAATTGGAGTAGCATCGACCATAAGGGGTCTGTGGGGCTGCAAAGAGGTTACCAGTGAATGAGACAGAGCCAGACCGTGGAAGGATTTGAAAACAAGAAAAAGGTTTTTAAAACTGAAGCACTAATGATGCATTGTGCATAGTTACAAGAAAAGGTCACTGGCAGAGCACAAAGATGTGGAAGTCTCCCCAGAATGAAGGGCAGGCTCAAGTATCTTGGTTTGGACCTGAAGTTTGAACCTCCACAGAGCACAACAGCTCATAGCAATCCCACACAGATAGTTTCAGAGAATACAATTAATGGCAGGACCCTCGGTACTGTTATAGAACAAAGAGGCCTAGGTACATAATTCTTTGAAGTTTGCGTCAAAGGTAGACAAGGTGGTTAAGAAAGCGTTTAACATGCTTGCCATCATTGCTCAGACCTTTGAGTACATGAGTTAGGACGTCTTGTTGAGGTTGTACAGGAGGTCGGTGAGACCTCTTCTGGAGTACTGTGTCCAGTTCTGGTCGACCAGTTATAGTAAGGATATTTTCAAATTGGAGAGGGTTCAGAAAAGATTTACCAGGATGTTGCTGGGAATGGAAAATTTGAGTTATAAAAATAGACTGGATAGGCTGAGAGTATTTTTCAATGGAGCACAGGAGATTTAAGAGGTGACCTTACAGAGGTTTATAAAACTATGACAGAGGCATAGATAAAGTGAATGACAACGGTCTTTTCCCTAGGTTGGGGTAAATCAAAACTAGAGGGCATATTTTTAAGGTGAGGGGAGAAAGATTTAGAAAGAACCCTTTTTTTTTAAAAACACAGAGCAGTTTGTATGTGGAATGAACTGCCAGAGGAAGTGGTAGATGCAGGTACAGTTACAGCATTTAAAAGAAATTTGGATAAGTACTTGAATCAGGAAGGTTTGGAGAGACACGGGCCAAACATAGGCAAGTGGGACTAGTTTAGTTTGGGAATATAGTTGGCGTGGACCAAAGGGTCTGTTTCCACACTGTATGACACAAAGGACAAGAAAGGACTGAGACAGACATGGAAGATTTGCCCTATGTACAATCCTGTGCTCTACGTGTCCTCAGGCTGTTTGATGGGGACATTGTAAAATGTGGCAGCTTTACTTTCAGTCTGGAAGAGTAGAGAGAGCTTTACTTTCACTTTAAGTGAGCAGGGACAGCGTAATTTCCACTTTTAAAGAGTAGAAAAGGCCTTACTCTCTATCTAACCCCGTGCTGTCCATGCCCTGCGAGTGTTGAATGGGGACAGTGTGGCAGTATTTTTAATTTTCATTTGAGAGTAAAGGGAGATTTACTTTCAGTTTTAAAAGAGGAGGGGGCTCTAAATATTTTTAAGAAAGCGGTTCTTGATGCCCAACAGGATGAAATGTTATCGGGGACCTGCAGCGTCGAGGTTAAAATCAGATCAGCCTTGATTTTATTGCAAGGTGGAGCAGGCCCAAAGGGCTGAGAGACCTACTCATGTTCTTTGTTTGCGTGTTAGCTTTATTCTATATCTAACCCGATGTTGCACCAGTGTGTCAAGGACTCCCAGTGAGGGGTGTACCCAGGACCATGCTAATTCTTACCGCAGTTCTTTCACACTTGCATTTCTGAATAGGCTCGCTCCCCAGGATTATGTGTAATAGCAGTCTCCCACCATGCCCTCCCGCAGTGCTGCAACACAGTAATGGTACCTTGGTGGTGAGCCCATGATAGAGGGTGGAGGTGTTGGGTTGCTGCCTGCGTTGTGCCTTCGCCTCATTGCCTGTGTCCTCTTCACACTGCTGGTAAGTTCCCGTCTCCCAGGTTCTTCCGGAGCTGGTGCTGGCCAGGGGAGGACGACAAACAATCAAATATCACTAGCAGCATTTAAAGCCAACCCAGCTCCACAATTTCTTCCTCCCCCCAGAGCTCCGTTCACAGGGCGGATGGGATTGTGTTCAACTTCACACTGGAGAAATTTCAACAGCTTGTCAATCTTTGGTATGGACCTCCCCTCGGCGCCAACCCTCCTGCAGCGCGGTGCCCCCTCGGCGCCAA